TGTAGTTTGTACTTGGTGAGCACGTAAACTTGTTAGGAAAAAGTCTTAACTAAATTTGGAAAGAAATTTATAGGTTCAAGAGTCAAAGATACATTAGAAAAAAGGGGTTTCTTAGTTAACAAATACTATTAGGTAGCTATATGTTTTAGGGTTTTATAAGTTTGGTGTAGTTTTCTTATCCAACAATGGCGGCTCATCTAAAAGAGGTTAAACAACCATGACCGATCAAATACGAAAAACATTTTGTGAGTATATGAGAGATCACTCGTATGATCACTCAAAAAGAATTACAACAATGGTTTGATGAAAAATATCATTTGAAAGTTAGTCAATGTACAATATCAAACACTATTAAGAGATTAACTGAGTATCTTTCAGCTAACTTAGAAAAAGTAGAGGATGTTAAACGGCACAACCAACAAAATTTCCAAAGATGTAGAAGGTTATATATGAGTGGTTTCTCCAATACCAACGCCATGTAAATATTACTGGAGAGCTAATTTTGGAGAAGGCAAAAGAGACGATGAAACTCGTACACCCTCAGCAGCCTTCTGAGCACAACCTTTTCGTTAGGTTGGCTTGAGAAGTTCAAGCTGAGACATGGTATCAAGTCATACCGTCATTTTGGAGAAAGTGGTCTGGTTGACACACATGACATGAAGCAGAAATTGGAGTCTATAAGGGAAAAAATGGACTGGTTTCCTAATAAAGATGTTTTCAATATGGATGATACTAGTTTGTTTAATATGTTACAAGTTGATCATTCTCCTGCAACAAATAAACTTGAAGGATGAAAACAAGACAAAGAAAAGCTAACAATTTTTATTTGTTGCAATAAAGATGACTCAGAAAAAATTCTACTATTGATTATTGGAAAGTATACAAAGTCACGTTGCTTTTAAAAATGACAATATGAATAGTTTGAATTGTCAATACCATGCCAATAAAAGAGCATTGATGACTAGTGTGCTTTTTGAAGAATATGTTCGTTGGTTATACCAAAAAATACATGGTAGAAGAATTTTGTTGTGGTACATAATTGTCCAGCCCATCTAGTGAATGTTGAAGGACTGCAAAATGTGGAGTTGTTTTTTTTCCCACTTACCATGACATAAAAAATCCAACCACGTGACACTAGGATAATAAGAAATTTCAAGATATATTATCGCAAGCGATTTTACCGGAATATATTAGAAGGCTTTGAAATTGGACAATCTGATCCATAAAATATCAATGTTTTAGATGTTTTCATTCTTGCAGTATCAGCTTGGATAGTATATGTCCAACAAGAGACAATTGCAAATTGTTTCCGACACTGCAAAAATCGTTCGGGGAATGAAGCAACCTTAAGCAGCTCTAATGAAGTGGCCTTTGAAGAAAGCATTTGTACACTTGAAAAAATGATTAATGATTCGGGTTACCACAACAAAATGGATATCAATCACTTATTAGATTACTCATGTGAAAGAGGTAATAATTTCATTTTTCATATTGATGGAAAACGGGAAAGCCACTTTGGAGGTAAGCAGAGATGGTGCCTTTTTATATTTGCAAAATTTCTGTTGACTAGAGCTAGATATTTACAATTTAATATACATGTATGTTCCTTACATGAACAGGATCTTGACCAACAATGTGAGAAATTAATACGAGATGAGTTTGGTGAACGCTGTAATTTTGATGTTGATGATGCAGTTCACAAATTGGAGAAATTGGGCATAGTTTGTCGCGTGAGATTCAATTAGAATTACTTTATTTTCATATAAAGGTTATACTAGTACAACACCCGTGTATTACACGGGTGTTTGTTAAAAAATTATTCTTAAATTTTACAATTAATGAGAAAACTATAAAAATCTAGTTTACTTTTTTTACAAAAAAAAAAATATATATTACTCTATATTTTAGAATGATATGTGTTACTTATGACTTACATGTGTTATATTATATTAGTTTTTATAACTTATATCATATAACTACTTGAAATATAAATAAATTAGTTGATAAATAATTTTATTTTTCTAATTAATATTTAAAATAATTTTATTATTGTTATAAAGATAAATATAAATTATTATTTTTATACATACAATATGGATGTCAAATCGAAACTCATCAAAAGACGATTAATTTGATATATTACATATGTAAAACTGTTAAAAAAGACAAAAGTTATTAACTTTTAAAATATATATACAATTCAATAGTTATAATTAGGAATGATATTGAAATGTAATTAATACATGTAACATGACCATAAATAATCAACATATTTATGGTAATCCGAACCTAATTATTTTTTATTTAGAATTAAATTAAAATTTACCCAAGCCTAATAACGAAGCATGTAATTTTGCCACATAGGATTACGAAGCACCAGAAGAAGCCACGTAGGCTCAGCGCGTTCTGAATTAATATATAGGGGGGGATTTACGAGTATGTTATGAGACCATTGCAAAGGATGAGGTAGGATCGTATTGCAACCTTCTCCACCTCGCCCCGCTCCGCCATCGAGCACGTCATCTTCAGTTCTTACTCTGTCTCCCAACGCGACTTATCGCCCCCTTCTATCGGGCGCTTACCGTCACGTGGGTACGGCCAGTCCCTCTTGCCCCCATCGCTGTCCAGGAAACCAGCTGGTCGTTGGTGGCCAACGTCGTGGTCCCACCCATCCCGGCGTGGAGGGCTGCCATCCCTGAACCCAAAACCCTCGTGTTCCCCTGTCGCTGTCCATGTCGCGGTCTGCTATACCTCGATAGAATCCTTGTTTGCTCCACGAGGTAGGGATAACGCTCCCGTCACTGGGGCCACCGAGTACTGGGGCTTTAACGATCCAAGGCTCATCACCATTAGGCCGTTTGTTACTCGAACCTGCATTTATAATACAACAAATAAGTATAGATATATACACGACATATTGTGACTGATTGTTTAGTTAATTAAAAGATTTTTTTTTTTATAAACTATCCAAATAGAAAATTAAGTAGTTCTGTAATTTAATAAACTATAAATAACTAATTATTCCATTAACGCTCAAATATAAATGTAGTAGCCATTGATTTTATTTTAAAATTATACTA